GGTTCGTTCACTGTCTGTTGTGAGTTTGGCTAGTTTGAATCAGACCCCAGGGCTTCATCACCCCTGGGTGAACTGATAAAATCTGTTTCTTGAACACTCAGGTCTGGACAGGACATCTGTGATGGTGCTGTACTTGCTGTACGTTGTACTTTGCCTGTTTATTTCTCTTCTCTCCTTACCTTTTTTCTTTCTCCATCCATCTCTTGCTATTACAGGAGTGACCCTGTCATTGTAATCTGCCTGCCCTTGCAGATACATTCCTATTCTCTGTCTCCTTTGTTCCTCTTGAAGATGTGGCTATGTTACAAATTAGGCTGTTTGAGGAGTCCCCAACCTTGCTTTTCCCCTCTTATGCTTCCATCCCCTAACTTTTGCCAGAGGCTCACACAAGCATCATCACTGCAAGGTTAAGGTCAGCAGCAGGCAGTGAAACTGTGCTTTTTCCTCAGGTGAGTTGAATTTGCAGATATTGACATCTGATATCATTCACCTTTCGGCTGTGGCCTCTCCTTTCCTCCCGCAGGGTACTTCATGATATCCTGCCTCCTCTCTTTCCTCTGGTTTCGCTTTTTCTCTCAGATCAAGAAGTAGACCTTTCATTTTTGTAGAGGGGTAGCCCCACAGGGCAAGTGATACTTGTGTTTGATAACAGATCTTTTGTTAGGGGTTTTGACCCAAGGAAAGGAGGCCACCCACTTACCAAAGCACAGAGCACTCCTTCGCTTCTGCAGTGTGCTCAGTGCTACTTGGCAAAAAACAGAGTCTTCCCAGGGGAAGCCATAGGAAATCTGACTTTTTTAGCACCTTGCCTCTGATGTGCTTATGCCCTGACACTTGCCTTGTGCCGTGTGACCCTCAGAGCAGAGTCAAAGAGTAATGCACTAGCCATGGAGGTTCAGCTTCTAACACAGGAGGAGCCTTGACCTTGGGCTGGGGCTCTGTGCATCCTTGTAAAAGGAGAAGGTGCCCTTCCGTAGTACGATTCCTTGTTGGGGCCCACTTCTAGATGCTTCCTCACAAAACATTGAGGACTCTTTAATCCCATCGGACTGTTTGCATCTGGAGAAGATGGATATTCTCCTTGTAGTGCACACTGTAGAGTTTCCATTCGATCCAGCTCTTCAGAGAACAAGGCCGAGAGCAGATTAATTGCCAGTCCTTATCCAAGTAGAGAATGGACTGACTCATGATACCTGGATAGACTCCAGAGCGAGATGCAGTGCCCTCTCCCGCTGCTGGCAGAACACTCCCTCTCCTGCTTGGACGGCTCTGAGCTCACTGGTATCCAGTGACCATCTGGAGATGGCAGGATCAGCTTTCCACCAGAGCTGCCGGTTTATATGCCACTCTAATCTGATGGAAGAATTCCTCAGCTCTGATAACCTGTCCTGTCTGATGGGTTGGAGTTTGATGGGAGTGTTAGTTATCAGAGTGCCAGGGGCAGTGTGGAATTCAGGGGAGAGGAGGGAGTGAGGATCAGTGGCTTTACCAGCATTTCCATGGATTTGAGCAATTGTGAGCAGCATCGGGTAGGGCTCCAGAAGCTTTAGTTCTAGGGCTGCCTCTTCGGTGCCTCATCTGTGACCTTGGATAAGTTCCTTGACTTCTCTGAGCCACATCACCCTCATCTGACAAACATAAAAGCTACTTTGTCTATCACACAGGGTTGGTGTGAGCAGAAAATGAGTGGGAAAGTGTATGATAACCATAAAGCATCATATTGACGTAGGCATTATTTTTATTTATTTTTTTAAATATATTTTTATTGATTTCAGAGAAGAAGGGAGAGGGAGAGAGCGATAGAAACATCAGTGTTGAGAGAGAATCATTGATTGGCTGCTTCCTGCATGCCCCACACTGGGAATCGTGCCCGCAACCCAGGCATGTGCCCTTGACTGGAATCGAACCTGGGACCCTTCAGTCTGCAGGCCGACGCTCTATCCACCAAGCCAAACCAGCTAGGGCGTAGGCATTATTTTTAAAGCCAGTAGTTTTATATTACATGCCAAGGATGCTGGTCATGTTCTAGTTTGGGGACAGAGGCACATTTACTTAGACACGGCCCATCTGCCCTCTTAAAGGGCTTTTCTGCACTCGGGCTTCATTTCCTGGGCAGATTCCCTATTTTCCCTAGGACCTTAGAGAGGAAAGGTGGTTGAGGCCCCTCAAATTGAGCTAAGGTAATGTGTATTTTACCACAGTTAAAAAAAAAATCAGCTAATGTATTGGGCCCATTTGCCTATATGTCTTATTTGGCCCTCACAGTGATATGAAAGCAAGAGTTCATGTAGCAAAGTTTAAAAATGTATAGCTTTCCCTTAAAATCTTGATAGGTTTCTCCTAAAATAGCAGAGCAAGTGCTCTTCGGTGCCTTTGTAGCTAGCCCCTTCACTTCCCCAACGTGCTCCCTACGTACGGAGTTCGGTTACTGGCCTGTGGAGGCATTTAGTGTAAACCCTGTTAAAGGCATCTAAGGGCACCCTCACATGGTAAACTTTGCATTTCTGTGGAGGAACTTGAATAGGCAGTGTCATTTTTAGACTGGAGCAAAGTGATACATTGTGAAACTTTAAAACCATAAGTTATTTGTGGTAAGCCTTGAAAAGCCCTTAAAAGGTAATGGACATTAGACTAAGGTAAGACAACATTTACTTAGGCAGTATCACTGGTATTAATTTTGAAAAAAACTTAGGAGAATTATAGTTCTGACAAACTGCTTTGGCATAGATTATCTCTGAGTGTCTGTCAGTTCACAGAAAACTTCCAGGTCATTCCCTGACTCTAGGTGCCCCTTTTTCATTCTTGTCAGTAAACAGTCACAAGTTTGAGTGAGAGGTTTTCCATTCTAGAGGTTTCCTAGTCAGAGGGTTCATGGTACCTACCCTCAGAATATAGTCTGCTGTGCTTGCCTAAATATATTTTGGGTCTTTCATAAAACAAAATATTTTAAACAACTTAACACCAATCAAAATGAGTATCATTGTCAGACTGGATTTAAGTGTAGGTTCATGTTGTTCATAGGAGACAAAAATAAGGACATTGGAAAGATGAAAACTAAAAGAGAAACATATATTTCAGGGGAATACTAAACAAAAGAAAATGGGCACAGCTTTATTAATACTAAACAATAGATTTATTTTTAGAGAGAGAAACATTGATTTCTTGTTCCCCTTACTTATGCATTCATTGGTTGATTCTTGTATGTGCCCTGACTGGGGATCGAGCCTGCAACATTGGTGTTTCGATCGGGTCAATGAGCTACCCAGGTTAGGCCTAAACAATAGATTTTAAGGCAAAAAATGATCACTTCATAATAATAAACTGTTTAATTTACTGGAAAGAATAATTCCTGGTCCTTCACATAGTCAGTAGTTCAAACAAATTAGTAAGAATTTAGAAGATTTGAGCCATACACTTAACCAGCTTGAACTGCACCTATAACTGCAGAATACAGTCATTCTCAGGACATGTAGAGCATATGGGCCATTCACTGGGCCCTGAGGGGATCTCAGGAAATTTCAAAGACTTTGCACTAAGGCAGTGATTCTTAACATTTTGCAAGTAATATAGTCCTTTGAAAATCCCATGTATCTTATAAGTTAGGGTTTCTGAACTTCAGCACTACTGACATTTGGGACCAGATAATTCTTTGCTGTGGGGGCTGTTCTATTATAGGATTTTCACAGCATCCCTAGCCTGTATCCACGAGTTGCCGGAAGTACCTCCCTTCCAGTAGTGACAACCCAAAATGTCTCCAGACTTTGCCAAACTTGCAAGGTTGGTGGGCACTATCAGCCTTGGTGGAGAATTGCTGTTACAGACCTTCTCTCCAGAGAAATACATAATTTTGCATACAATTCCTTCCCTCTCCAGCATCTAGATCAGTGGTTCTCAACCTTGGCTGCATTAGAATCACCTGGGAATCTTTTTAAAATCCTGATTTCTGGGCCTCATCCTCCGGAAATTCTGTTTCGTTGTTACTACTGTTGTGGCCCCACCCCATAACAAAGAAACAGAATTTCCGGAGGATGAGGCCCAGAAATCAGGATTTTTAAAAGATTCCCAGGTGATTCTAATGTGCAGCCAAGGTTGAGAACCACTGCTCTAGATGGTCTTGCTCTCACTGAAGATAGGTTAGTTGGGACGTTTTGTAAGAAAAAGCAGCGGGTCAACAAGGAGCCTGGACGTCTGGTCTTGCTCGTTCCACAGCTTCCAGTGTGTGTGGCTTCATGGAGTTCCTGGTGCTGAGGGTCTGAGGCTTGTGACTGCCATGGAGTTCCACTTCTGTTTTGGTCTAGGCCTTTCCTAGGTGCTAATTACAGACAATTCATATCCGTGACAGTGAAAAAAAATAAAATAAAATGTGATACATGAAGGAATGAAAAAGGGAGACCTTATCTCTGAGGAGCAAGCAATTTAACTATATGGGACCACAGACCTTACAAAGGAGAGGTGGACAGCCAAGCTGGGTTTTGCAGGATAAAAAGGAGTTTGCAAGGAGGAGGACATTGCAGGCAGGTGGACCAGCACCCTAGGTTCTGGGGGTTAGTAAGAGCTCAGTGTTGCTGTGGTGTAAAAAAGAAAAGATAAAGAAAGGTCTGGGTGAGGTGTGCTTAGGAGCTTGGACTTGATCGGTCAAGTAGTGAGGTATTTTAAGTGGGGAAGTGACACAAGCAGACGTGTTTGGAAAGGTGGTTTGAGTGGCTCTGAAGGTCAGCTGGGAGGCCAGGAGGCTCGTGGAAGGCCATGCAAAGAACCCAGCTGAGTAATGAGGCCTAGAACTCTCACTGCGGCTGTGGGAACGGAGGGAGATGAACCCGTAAGGAGTCAGGTCCCCAGACCCCAGAGTTTAGTAAAGGGAGCTCCACATCCATTATTTCGAAGGACACAGTCATGTCCCTGGCCAGAGAGGACACTGCCCTTAGCTCTGAAAATAAAGGCGTAAGTTTTTATTTGAGAGAGATTTTTTTCCACTTTTTATATACATTTTTTTCCTCTAGGAAATAGACAGACGGTTGGAAAAAAAACTGAAGATCACACAAAAGGAGAGGTAAGGCTACTGTCTGGTCTGAGGACTCATGCTCTCTGCCTTCTGAGAGCTGGGCAGTCAGTGGTGGTCTCCAGCTGGCTCTTAGGGTTAGCAGGTCAGGCTCTTGGGCAGTGAATCCTTCCCTCAAGCATGTGGTGGCTTGAGGTTTGGGAGTGAGGCTGGAGTTTCCTACCCCAGTGCGCACCCTGTGTGAAGTGGTTTGATGAAAGTGGGGAGGTGACAAGTCAGAAGACTTGGGTTTAGGCCTGGCTCTGCTCCCCATTGCTCTGATGTTTGGGACAATCCCCCCCACCTCCAGTCTGGACATCAGTTTCTTTCTCTCTACCATGAGGTTGGACAGGTGATTTCTCTGGGCCTTCTGTGACTTGGTGGCTTAGGGCGTTATGGGGTATCCTGGAAGAAAAGATTCTCAGAACTTCTTAGACCTTGAGGGGTAGCTTCATCCCCCAGCTTCAAAGCAAAGGCAGTGCGTTTCCACAGCAGGTGGAAGGTGACTTCAGCAGTCCGTCTTTGGGCGCAGGTAACCTGCCAGCTTCCCACAGGGGCAAGGGAAGGAAGGAGGAAGAGAGGGCCTCTCTGGACTTGCCCAATGGGCTGCACAGATATTCCCCACCTGCCTGCCCAACAGCTTTCCTGGTTCCCTTCCTCTTAGATCAGATTGCTGGCTCCTTGTCTGTCCGCTCATCTCAGCACCTACACTAACCCCTGGTGACAGTCCCCTTGCCACGCCATTCCTGTCCTGCCCAGAACTTACTGTAGTTCCCCTGACAGCAGCTGGGCTCCCCCAGTGCCTACCCCTCCTGACAATCAAGAGTCTACTGACAGCCCCCTGTGGGCTGTCCGGTTCTGAAGAGAAG